TCTCGTAATTATCACACTGTAATATAATTTCTATATATTTTCACGACGATGGTAGTATGGTGAAGTAGTTCTCAAGTGGCTGGCTTCAAACCTGGTTCCACCGCTCCCCATATAAGTGGCATCACCTCTGAGTCTGGGTGCTGAATCTTTGAAGCAGGGAGAGGTAACAACCGAACCTAGGCTTGTTGTCACCACTGAGCGAGGTTACGCATGGCAAGTACTAAGGACAGGAATGGAATGATCTCATAAATCAACATTGGTCATTATCATCATCACCTTCCCTGATGGGCTAGGAGCTCTGATCTCACTGAATCCTCCCTCCTCTCCTCCCCATTTCAATGAGAGCTATAATTGTCCCAGTTTTGAGATGGATAAACTGAGGTTCAAAATGACTACCTTGCTCAAGGCCACAGAGCTAGCCAGTCATGGAAAAGAGGTGTCAACCCAGATCCGTCTGGTCCTGTCTATGGCACCTTGCCACCTCCTATATTTCAAGTATCTGTGTTACTATTTTAATCTAGTTAATTCAGTTGCTTTTATTGAATTCACAACTACATGCACAGCACTTCACAGGCACTAACTTTAATGATTACAACAATCTTGCAAAGGAGTAATTATTTTACTGATGAAGAAACTAATGTTCAGAGAGATTAAGAAATGAGCCAGGGTTGCACAGTAAGGACCAGAATTTGAATCCAGATACCTCTTTTTTCAACTTTCTTTGATGTATAGGATATGTAAAACTTAAATAGTATAGGGTAATCACCATCCACGGACCCAAATCCAGGGGGCTTTAACAAATCTTAACATTTTGCTGTATTTCCTTATAGGTAAAGCCCCTAAATGCACCTATCTTCCTCCTCAGAGGTAACCACCCTCCTGAAGCTGATGTCTGTCATTCACATATATTTTATATACTTACGTATCTAGATATATTATTGTTCTGCATGTTTTTAAACATGATGGAAATGTAATCTTACTAATCACTTTATTCTGAAACTTACTGTCTTCACTCAACATATGATCATTTCAAGATTTAACCACACTGATAAATGTAGATTTAGTTCACTCACTTTAACTACTGTATGGTACTTCAATATATGAATTTGCCACTTGTTATTTGAGGCCTCTATTAACAGACATTCAGCTGCTTCTAATTTTCACTATTCAAACAGCACTGCGGGAACAGCCTGGACCTGGCCCCTTGTTCAAGAGGTCCTCTGAGGGATCGTCCAAGAAGGAGGGATAATGGGTCAAAAACACACACAGCCTCAACTTTCCTAAGAGTGCCAAATGGTTGTACAAATTTATACTTTGGCCAACATTATATTTATAAGAATTCCTCTTTTGCTATATTCTTGCCATTTCTGGTATTACAGACATTTTTTTTTTTAATTTTCCCAGTCTGATGGGTACAGATTTTACAAATGTGAAACTGTACCTGTCTCATCCATCCATCCAGTCACGTACCCAACAAATACATGACCTGTTTTGTGCCAAGCATTGTGGAAGCACACTGACAACACAACAGACAAAATCACTGCCCTTCTGGAGGTGCAGGCAATGAACAAAAATCAAAGAGATAATGAAGGTAACGTCAGGGGCTACTAAGTGCCATGGAGAACAACAAAGCAGGGTAAAAGCAGGGAGGATGAGGGAGCTGTACGTCAGAGCACGTTAATATGCATCTCCCTCGTTCACATTTACAGGAGCATTATAAAGACATTTAATCACGGGCTGGGGCACAGGCAGGGCTCAAGCAAAGTGAGCAGACAGGAGCACTCGCATGGCCGAGCCAGGGGGCGCCGGCAGTGTGACCCATGCCAGCTTAGGCTTCATCTTCTGGGAAAGGCCCACTCAGCTCCACCACCATCTCTCTTACTTACTGATTCGTGTGTCATGTATCATGAGAACCCCTCGTACACTCTAGATACCAGTCCCTTCTGGGGATGTGTGTTGGTCATATCTCCCTTTCTGTGGATTCTCTCTCCTTCTGTCTTTTTAATTTTTTCATGAGGATATATCATATATACCTAAAGATGCATAATATAATAATATTCATGTGACTTAACTTTAAATTGTGTTCACAGTCTCCTTTGCAGAATTTTGTAAAAGTTTAATGTAATCAAACCGGTCAGCCTTTTTCTTTATAGTTGGTGCTTTATATGCCAATCCTAAGAAACCCCTCCCTCCCCTAAGGTCGTTGACATTGTGTCCTATGTTATCTTCTAAAATTGTGAACATATTGCTTTTTCATACTTGAGCATTGATCCTACCTGATACTGATCTTTCTTACAGTATTCCAATTTTTTTCTACAGGAATAGTCAAATGGTCCAGTATTATTTATGAAAAGGTTCTTACTTTCTCCCGCTATTTATAATGCCCCCCTCCATCATTCCATATTCCATTGATTCTAAAATTCGTATCAGAAGACTTCTATAAACCTGTGTTAGGTCTGCCATCTGGCTGACAACAATTTTAAAACATCATATATTGTAAAATGAATTCATACTTCAGAGAGAAAACAAGAGTGCTTCTTGGAATTTATGAAATAGGGCATGTCAAACTTCCCTATACCAATGGATCTGATTTGGGGCTTTCTGTTCTCTTCCATTTGCCTATCTGTCCCTGTACATTGATCAGACTGTTTTAATTGCTCTTGCTTGATAAGCCTTAATATCTCCTAGAGCAGGATTTCTCCACTTCGTCCCATTCTTCCATTTATTTTGGCTATTCTTGGGCCTTCTTCTTCCATATGAATGCTAAGATTAGTTTGCTAGGTTGATTTAAAAACTCCTGTTGGGATTTTGCTAGGAATTACATGTAATTCATAGATTAATCAGGGAGTAAGTTGACACCTTCACAATACTGAGTCTTCCCATCCACGAATATGGTATATAGTTTGCTATTTCATCAGGTCTTCTCTTATGCTTTGTAATACTCTTCATAAAGGTCTTGTGTACATTGTTAGATTTCCTTCAAGGTATCTTAGAGTATTGCTGGCTACTGTGAACAGGAATATTTTAAATTGTATTTTCTAATTAGCTTTCATTGGTATAGAGATATGCTATAACTTTTTATTTCGAACCAAGAAAATTTGTTGAACTTTCTCACCAATTCTAACAGTTTGTCCAGCGGTTCTCTTGAATTTTCCACATAGACAATCCTCTCATCCACAAATAAGGACAGTTTTGTTTCTTCCATTCTAATTCTTACATCTTTGTCTTTTCTTATTACATTAGCTAGAACTGGGATAATTTTGAGTGGAAGCAGTGATAGCAGACATCCCTGTCTTGCTCCTGACTTAAAAAGTAATGAGTCTAAAGTTTCACTATTAAGTATGATGTTTCCTATAGATTTTTCAGACACCCTTTATTAAGCTAATATTACTCCCTTGAAGTCTTAGTTTACTAAGAATTGTTATTATGAATATATATTGAAATTTTCTGTAACTATTTAAATTATCATATTTTCCCTCAATTAATTTGCTAGTATGATATGTAACATTGAGAAACTTTCGAACATAGAATCATTGTTACATTTCTAAGATAAAGCCTACTTGGTCATGACATATTGTTCCTTTTATACCAGGCAGAATTTGATTTGCTAATGTTTTATTTAGGATTTTTGCATTGTGCTAAAATCCTAACCACAAATGACCCTTTTGGACCCAGAACCCAGCTAACTGCTTCGTATTTTATTTCTATTTCACAAAATGTTTATCTTATTTTTTAACTCACGGAGGTATTTTGGTTTTCTCCTTTTAAATTTTTCTGTTATTGCCTAAGCCCTATGCCAGCAAGGACGAGTCAAAGCAGGACCTTACTGGGCCACCTTGATGGAATTCCATGCCAATTCCCTTTCTGTAACTCCATCCTCACCGTCTCTCCCTCATCTAAGTTCAGTACTTACTGCCTTAAGTAAGACAACGCATATTAAAGTTCCTAGTAGAATACCTAACATATAATAGAGCTGATTCAATCCAGCTAACAAGTTGCTGAATATCCAATACACTGGTTGAATTCTTAAAACCAACTTTTTTCAAGAAGAAAGCACTCAGAAATGTTATATATTTAAGGAATTTATGAAGATATACTTAGTAAGTTCTCCACCAGCTACTCAATTCTTCTCTGTGCTGGAGTTTCAAAGTACCTTCTCTGCCTCCTTTGGCAATACATTACACAATGCTGTATATGCAGGAGGCAACTGTGCGGGCCACTAAGGCATGCATGCCAGGTGCCACAGCAGACACCTGTCTGCTCACTGATATCAGAGCAGGTTCCAACTGGGGTTTGGTCAAGAACTAAATCCTACACTCAACCTATAGGAATATGTGTCAGCGGGTACCATGTGTGCATGTGTGTGCAGGGGCAGGGGAGGAGAGAGGTATGCACATGATTGTCTACATATACTCACATTTCAACTCAGCTTACATTCAAGACACTGTAAGTATCTCCATCAAAAAAGCAAACACCTCTACTCAAAACTGTTTTTTAAAAAAGAACAGTATGACATTTTATAATTAATCTGAGCTTTTAAAGCTTCTACGTTGATGATATGGCCTGCGTATTTCTATGCCTCTTATACTTTATAATGAGTAATAATGAGCTCCTTATAGTTTCCCACACACCAGGCTCTGAAACCACTTGCCCTGTCATTTATAAACTCTATAACTTTGGGCAAGTTACTTAATATCTACAAGCCTCAACTTTTTATAGAAAAAATGGAGCTAAGAGCCCTCATTTTGCAGTGTGATTTTAGTAACCAAATGCAAGAAAGTATATGAAGCTTTTTATATTATCACCTCTTCTCTCATTTTTCATTCCATATTTTACTCTACCCTGCAATATTAAACAGCTAAATACCTACTTTAGTATGAACTTAAGCAGAAAATCCAGTAAAGCATAAGTGCTTCCTGGGGCAAGAACATCTTTCCACATCTGAATCCCTCTCAGCTGCCAAGCTCAACGCTCGCGCCTCTTACTCAGTGCACACTTACATGAAGCGTCTTCCTCAGTGGAGGCTGAGCAGATGCTCTTAGCACACATGCAGGAGTCCCCATCTCAGAAACGTCTCCATGTCTCAGTGATGCCTTATTCTAGGCATGAGACAGAAAGGCACAATCAAGAACTAGAGGAGATGGCGAGTTGCATTGGCTAACACTGTAAAGATAGGTTGGCTGTGTCAGAAAAGAAGCTACTTCAATTCCTTTGTCATAAAAGAGTCATAATATTTATTTATAGCTTGATAACTTCATGGCAGGAAGATGGGAAATCAAAGAATAAATCAGAACTTACGAACATTATCAGAGTTATTTTTATCTTAGGCGTGAACATCACTCTGGCCTAAATGAGCATAATTACAATGACTGATGATAGACACACACACACGGCTCAAGCACCAACAACACTTCACGGATTTAAAAGCATTTTATATGCATTATTTCACTTGATTCTCAAAATAAGCCCAGAGAGTTAATTTACATAAGAGGAAACTGAAGCTGAAATAGGCAAAGTGACGTACCATCAGCCAGGAAAAGCGTATGGAGTCAGTGCCAGGCCACAGGCCCCGACACGCACACCTCGTGCCAGGCACCAAGAGGCTCTGGGGCTGGAGGAGGTAAGCACAAACTCTCATGTGGCACTTTCAATAGAGAGGGAAGACAACCACGTATCCATTCACTTAATCAGGAAATATTCATTGAGATCTTATGGTGTGTCAGGTGCTGGCCCAGGTCCCTGGAGTAGGTTAATGAACAGCTGAAGCCCTACCCTCAGGGGGCTCACCCTCAATATCATTCATACACACAACGTCCTACAGACAGGCAATGCCCACAGCAACAGAACAAGGTGGATGAGTGTGGCGAGGAAGGAAAACACCCAGACCACTTGACAGGGTCAGGTGTGCCTGAACATTTAGTATGCATATACACCTAGACCACTTTAATAAAAATGAGTCCCTCAGTCGGGATTCTGGGCTTTCAGAATTATTTTCCATTCACCATTCACAGGAATTAACCACATTTTCACTTGACTTTCACATCTGGATTCTGGACTCAGCTTTATTATGCTGAACTCTTTTCTATGCCAAGTTGTCTGTTGTCAGAGAAAAAAACATACCCAAGGTTCTGAATGGATTCACTACCTGAGAAGAAACTTGAGGACTGTCCATTTATCATCTCATTCTTTCTGCCCAGAGTCATGTTAAGGTACCACATGCCATACATTGTCCACACCCAAGTTCAGGACAGTGAGAATCCCTCAGGCAGCATGCCTGGCATGCCATCGTCCCAACACGTCTCCTTGAGAGCCTCACGTCCACACTGACCCTGACCCCATCAGGTTCCTCCAGAAAGCCTCTCCCTTGAGGTGTACACCTTCCAGCTATCTTGCTGCAATTCAGAGAAAACTTCAGGCAATTCATTTAGAGACTCATATCCAACAATACTTATATTCACCTTGCAACAGAAGGCATAAAAAGATTTTTGGAACTGGTACATTCACAGTTCTGAGCATAAGATGAATGATATAAGGAACAACATGAACAGAGCTGGTCTCATTTTGTGCTCAATTTTTCTATTTACTGTTGCAATCTGTTCATACTTTACTGGGATTGCAAATTGTTAACTTATAGACACTATTTACTGCCATGTTCTATTGATTACGTTTCCGAAAGGAGCTAACCCATTTGGGAGTGGTTTTCTTGTTAAGTTCACTGCATCTAAAACAGAAAAAGTGCACAGGTAAGTCTCTTACGTTTTCAGTCTGTACTTTGATGGGCTAAACCAGTTTGCCTGGTGGAGCTAAATAAGATAATATACATGAAAACGTTTTCCAGGTGGCAGGAACTATTATTATTACACTCCTGACATCAATGGTGCTGTCAGCCTCTGATCTCCTTCCCATTGCTCTGTTCTCCCTGCAAACAACTAACGGGTCCCGCCAGCACGGTTGGCGTGGCCCCAGACATCAAGCCAATCCCAAACGAACCAGGAAATTCAAAAGCAACTGCAGGTTCCTCAGCTCTCGAGTAAGAAAAACAATATTATTCTCTTGCATTAGTAACTGGCCTTCAAATTCCTCATTTGTGACATGGGGATAAAATATCTACCATGAAAGATTGCTGTGTTGATTAAAATGTATACAAATCATCTTCTTCCAAGGGGCCTGGCAAATATTTATCAATTGCCTGCTCATCACATCCAAGTGTTTGCTCAACTTGACCCAGTATATGAAGCACAAGTATGAGACCTGAGGAACCACAAGAGGACTCTATATAACACTATGCACGCACGTGCACACACGCACACTCACACGTATATGTGTAGGTAGGTATGTGTTTATGTATAACACTATATAAACTCCAAAGGATTCCAGACTGGAAGAGAAGGGGAAACAGAGAGCTACTCAGCTAGAGCTAAACATTTGCAGCCTGCCATGCAGTGAAAGGCATGGGGAGATAAGCGGACAGGACTCTCAGGTGAGAAATATGTGTACGTGGCAGTGATGGTGGTCACACAGTGACTATAATAATGGTGAACATATGTTAAGGACTTAGCAAGTACCAGGCGCTACTGTCAAATTCTCTACTTATATTACCTCATTTAACCATCACAACAACCTCATATGTATACATTGCTATTACTACCCTCATTTTACAGATGAGGAAACTGAAACCCAAGAGTTAATTGGAGTGGATACTAGCTGAGTCAAAGGAATTAGCCCAAAGAATCATTGATAACCAAGGTAGTAACTAGAACTAGGAGAGGAGAGGAGACCATCAAGACAGAGACTGAAAGGTGTAAACATCAGCTGGTTGATAACCAAACTCCAGGCATGCACACATTCAGGGGTCAGGGAAGAGGAGGCACCTATGAAGGGGTCAAAGACGAGTGGGTTAAGGGGTACTGAGACGGTCCTGGAACCCAGGAGCCAAGAGGAGAAAGACTTTCAACAAGGACCCCAGGGGTATGGCTGGGTCTCTGCCCTTTGATCCTGCCCGTTTGGCACTGTCTCCTACATTTTTTTCTGTCATTGACTTAAACAAGGACAAAATAAGCAAGTTTATTTCAATTTTGTGGACACCACAGGTCTCTAGGGAAAGCTAACGTGAAAGACTGCAGAGCTGAAATTGTAAGCAACTTCTACTGGCTGATACATGGAATCAAAACCAATAAGATGACATCTAACAAGGATTCACCTAACTCCCACATTTAGTTTGCAAAAAAAAATCAATTGCACAGGGACAGTTTAAGGAGGTTGAGATTGACAGCAGATGATGTGATAAAGATGGAGGGAGGGAGGGGTCCCTGATACTCTCACTCCTGCTCAATAGGGGCCAACGGCATGACTCAGCAGGGGCTATAACCTCAGGTCACATTAGCAACAAAGCAGGCCTGCACAGAGGATGCTGTGATCTCAGGTACTCAGCGCTGGGTCAGACCTTGCAGGCAGGTCTGGATTCCATCCTCTGATGGACTTGACACTGTTGATAATGCCTCCTACTGAACATCCTTCCTTCCTCTCTGCATTAGTCTGGGTTGGGTCCACCTGAGGCCTCTCCTTGGCATGGAGCTTGCCATCTGCATGTTCACAAGGCACTCTCCCTGTGTGCTGGTCTACCCTTTTCATAAGGACACCAGTTCCATTGGATTGGGGCTCATTGTAATGGCCTCATTTTCACTGGACTATCTCTGTAAAAACTCTGTCTCCAAATAAGGTCACATTCTGAGGTCCTGGGGGTTAGGACTTCAAAATATGAATTTGGGGAAGGGACAATTCAACCCATGACCTTTAGTCTCTCTGTGACCCACAAGTCTGTCATCAGCTAACTACTTTTCTCACTCTACATTCTCCTCCCAGTCACGATGACAATAGCTGCCTTTATGTCAGCAATGCTCAGATCTTTACCATAAGGCTAGCTCTCTCCCCAAGATTCAGATGTGAAGCCAGCTGCCTGCTGAGCATCTCCACCTACATGTCCAGAAACCTCCAACTTGAAACGTCCCATGTTGCTCTTGTATTCTCTGTCTCATTAGGAAAAGAGGCAGTATTCAATGGAGGTCAAGACCATGGACTGTGGGGCCAGAAGAACCAGAGTGGAATCCTGGCTCCCCCGCTTCCAGCTGTGTGACCTTGGGCTAGTTCCTTCCCATTTCCTCACCCATTAATGGGGATTTACAGGTTTCTTATAAAGATTAACCACTGAATATATGTTGAAGGCTTAGAACAAGGCCTTGGCATTATGTCTCATACATGTGAAGTACTTATTAGGTTAGTTACATCTGAGTGAAGCCATTCTCCCAGAAACTCATGCTAGAAAAACATGAATTTTAGGATCAGCTTATCAATTTCCACAAAGAAGCCAGCTGGGTTTTTGACAGAGACTGCAATGAATCTGTAGATCAATTTAGGTGGTATTGCCATCTGAACAATATTCAGCCTTCCAATCCATGAACATGGGATGTCTTTCCATTACTGAGGTCTTCTTTAACTTCTTTCAATGATGTTTTGTAGTGTTCAGTATATGTCTTATACTTTTTTGTTAAGTTTATTCCTAATTATTTTGTTATTTTTAACAGTATTATGAAAACAATTTTCTTAATTTCCTGCTCTTTGTAAATGTTTACAAATACAATTGAGTTTTGTCTATTGATCTTATACCCCACAACCTTGCTGAACTTATTAGTTCTAATAGTATTTTAGTGAATTACTTATATGAGATCATGTCATCTTCAAGTAGAGGTAGTTTTACTTCTTTTCTAAACAGGATGCTTTTTATTTCATTTCCTGGCCCAATTATCTGGTTAGAACTTCACGCACAATGTTGAATAGGAATGGCCAGAGTGGACATCCTTGTCTCATTCCCAATCTTAGAGGGAAAGTGTTCAGCCCTTCACCATTAAGTATGATGTTAGCAGTGGGTTTTTCACAGATGCCCTTTATCCATTTGAGGAAGTTCACTTCTATTCCTAATGAGTTTGGGGTTTGGAGGAGTGATTTTTTATTATGAAGGGGTCCTCATAGTTTCTTGCCTGCAAATTCATTCTCCCCACACCTGCTAAAGTGATCTTTCTGAATGCAAAGCTGATCATATAAC